CTGATCAGCTGCACATTATGCCATAACAGTTCCTTGTTTCTCAGGACAGTGTAACTGCTCTTTCAGATTGTTAGGACATCATCAACAAGGTCAAGGACGTGGAGGGGAGGGCCTTCAGCACACCATTGTGGCCGGAGGAACTCCTGAACAGTCAAAGCTGTGGAGGACTCTGTGGGTCAGAAGCTGGTCAAAATCCCGGGAAGGTGTAGAGAGTATTAAAATAGATGAATGAATGGATTTATTTAATCCTCCACTTGGTTTTGAACCTCTGTTTTTGAGATAACTGCTCACAGAGAAAGAACTGTGGCAAAAGACTCTCACATTTTGTTAAAAAGGAAATGAAGAATTCATTCTTTCTCATTATCAGTTGCCACTAAGGCTCTTGATTCTCCTCCAGACAAATTTCACCTTCCAGGTGAGCTGAATTTCTGGCAAGTTCAGAAGTGCACTGACCTGGTAGAGGTGGGTCCTGGTGTCTTGTGTCCATATGGTGTGCCGCGGGTCGTATTTTTTAACTCAGTGGAATGTGTGGACGATTTGATCTTCTCAGTATTCTTGTCCATTTTAATCACCCTGCTGTTCCCGTTCACTAAATTCTCTCATGTCACCCGTTTTGAGTTCAATATACCATGAAATACTAAGAATTTTGAAGTAGGCATTGTCCTTATGAAATGACTATAACTCAGACTTCAGACACAAATAACAGTTATCCATTAAACAGTTATGTTTAATAACATAAGTAAAGTTTTAGTTTCAAAAAAGGCTGTTTTTNTTAAAGTAGGCATTGTCCTTATGAAATGATTATAACTCAGACTTCAGACACAAATAACAGTTATCCATTAAACAGTTATGTTTAATAACATAAGTAAAGTTTTAGTTTCAAAAAAGGCTGTTTTTCATAGGTAATTTGAATTGGGGGTGAGAACAGGATTTCTGTGCTCTCTTCCCTACTCCTTGCCTCACTCTTTTTTATGTCTTCAAATTTTATTGAGGTACAATTGTCATACAACACTACATGAGTTTAAGGTACACAGCACAATGATTTGACCTACAAACATGATGAAGTGATTATCACAATAAGTTTAGTGAACATTCATTATCTCATATAGATACAAAATTAAGGAAATAGAAAAAAACTGTCCTTTTTACGAGAATTGTTAGGATTTACTCTCTTAACAACTTTCATATGTAACAGACAGCAGTGTTCATTGTGTTTATCATTTTGTGCCTTACAGCTGTAGCACTTATTTATCTTTTAATCTCAAAGTAGTTTAACCTGAAGATGAAGATTGACTATTTTCATTCAATTCCTCCTCCTTCTCATCCCTTACCTCTGGTAATCACAAATCCGATATCTTTCTATGAGTTTGTTTCACTTGTTTGTTTGTGAAGTATGATTGACCTACAACACTGTTAGTTCCTGATACACAGCAGAGTGATTCGATATGTCTATACATTTCAAAATGAACACCATGACATCTAGTTGTCATCTGTTACCAAAGATACTGCATACTTTTTGACTATATTCCCCACACTGTAAATGTGTACCCGAGACTCATTTGTTTTATAACTAGAATTTTGTACATCTTAATCTCCCTCACCTAGTTCTTTCATTTCCTTACTGCACTCCCCTCTGGCAAACACCTGTTTGTTCTCTGTATCTGTGACTCTGATTCTGTTTTGTTATGCTTGCTCATTTGCTGTTTAGATTCCACATATAAGTGAAATCATACAGTATTTGTCTTTCACTGTCTGACGTTTCACCAAACGTAATACCCTCTAGGTCCCATGTTGTCACCATCTGTCTCCCTTATGTGATTCAAACAGAAACACAGTGCATAAAATCTCAGTTACAGACAAAAACCAATCTGAGAGATCAGATTCCTCTCCTCTCACATCGCCTGACCTGACCTTGGGATCTTCTTTCCCTGATCTGAGGGTCATTTGAGACAACCCTCTTTGGACCCTCCAGAGGAAATTTCTTTGCAATGCTCCTGATGTTAGAACATAAAGCACAAGCGGTAACAATGTCAACCGCCAGTTGGCTTCAGGCTGGACCTTACAAAGCGTTGCAGCTACTAATGACTTTTACTCCTCCAAGACTTCTTTGAGATTGGGTACTATTGTGAGGACTTTATGAAATCGGAAATGGAGGCTTAGGGAGGAGAAGTGGACTCCAAGGAATGTGTCCTTGGAATATGCTGATGTGGACAGTTAACTTTTCTAATAGTGGCCACCATGCTGCTGGCCTCAGGTTTAATGCAGCCAGATCTTGAATGTCTATCACAGAGGGTGGTGGGAGCCAAGCCACGGTTCGCCATCACGGAGCACAGAATCTTCCTTGCTCTGCGTTGAATCCTCATGCCTCCTGGGAAAGGTGAGATATTTTTAAGCTTTAGGGCCACCAGCTCCCTCTGACCCCAATCCAATCTTCAGTGCAGGAACTGGGGAAGCTGAGGAACAGGGAAATAGCAGGAAGAGGGTGGGGAAGCCTAAGGGCAGGAGGGAGACCATGGCCTCAGGGAGGAAGAACAACAGGGGCTTCGTGAGAGGATGAAGGTACATTTTCCTGACTTGAATTCTCCTCTGTTCCCCTCTCCCTCCCCTTTGAATCCTTCATTAAAATCTGATCATTTGAATTTGAAAACATAATCTCAAATCTGCACTTTTCCTTCTGCTCTGTTGCTATTTCCTTACCCCTTGCCTCTGGGATTTGGGCTGGGTGGCACGAGTTCCTGACTGTCCCACAGTTCCTGCACAGCTGACAGACTCGTCTTCAGGTCACATTATTGGAGTATCTGACTTGTTCCATTGGTACCCAGTAAGAAATTGCTCTTTACCTGTGTCTTCACAGGTATGAAGCACCTGAGCCTCATTTACCTCTATCATTAATGCTCATGATTAAAATGCTTTTATCCTGCAAGACTAACTTTTATTTTTCTAACATGACTAATCTATATTTATGTCAGGCCCTTTGAATGCTCTCTCTCTTTCTCTTGATATGACTATCCCCTTAGTTTCTGAATGACCAAGTTCTCATATTGCTCAGAATTTACTCCTTTTTGGGTCCCTGACAACCACACTGCAGATTCATTTCTATGAACTGAGACCCACTACAGGTGGCCTGCTGTGTGGATGTGAGACCCATAGATGTGGAGGGCCAACAGTACTACCTTTTTTTAATCAAGGGACGTCTTCTGGGCTCTAGGAACCAATTTCCTGAAGATACTGAGAGATGGCTATACATTGTATTCCTCAGTATAGTTTTCCTCCCTGACACTTATCACCTGAAAAAAATAATCTTGTAAGTTCAATTCTTCCCAGTAGAATAGGCACCATAAGGGTAGAAGTGTATTTTTGTTTATATTGCATCCGCACGACCTTAGAAAACTACCTAGAAGACAATACCTGCACATTGTTTATCTATTGTGTGAATGAAGGAATGAGTGATGGGAGAGGGGCAGACGACACAAGGCAGAGTGATGGGGCAGCTGAATTAACTGTTAGAGATGCTGTGTCTATGTTTGGGAAGAAACACATAATCTGTAGAGACAAGGAAGGTTCACTGCATCCTGCATCATGGCCAATGTGATTCCAGCCTGGCGGTATTCCAACTCCTCCTTCTGTTACTCCAAGGCATTTGGAAGAGTGAGATCATATCTTTCCACTGTTTATTAACCTGAAGCCAGTGGTTTCTGCTGAGCCCCAGAATTTTTCAAACCTAGGGTCTCCATGCAATAGCTCCAACCAGAGGAACAAATCTTCCAATGGCTTCTCCAGAGAAGAGGCTACAGTGCAGCTGGTGTGTGTAGTACTACCAAGAGCAAGAATGAATGATATATTGGCGGTGGGAGGAAAGAAAATTGCTATATATCTGGACCTGGAAAAGGGGCTGATATAAAGGAAGTCAGGAACACCAGACTCAAGGACAGAGGTACAGATTTGATGACAAGCCACCTCTGTTTTATTCTGAGGGAAGTCCTGCAAAAGATTCATTCTGTCTCCCAAGCAATCACTTGAATGCTGCTCCTGACCACAGTGTGTGAGGAGCTTTCCCTTCCTGTTCCTCACTGATTCCTGAGTGCAGCTCTGTGATGGAGGGAGAGTAGAAGCTGTCATTATCTGCCCCCTTTTCCGTCAGTCTGTTTCCAGAGTCCTGGAGCTTGTGCCCCTTCCTGACCTGAATGTTAATGAGCCACTGACCCATCCTTGGGAGAGGGCCCCATTCCAGGTCTCCTTCCTCACCTTCTCCACCACATGACAGGCTGCTCCCTCCTCCAGGACATAGAAGTTCTCAGAAAAGACTGTCACCCCTTCTCCAGGTAGTACCAGAATCTGATCATGTACTACCCGAACACTATATCATTCCACATTAGACTCAAACTCTGGATCCACCCCTAGGATGACCATACATACCTGAAAATTTGATACACTTATTTAAACATGAATCTCTGAGACTGAAATTTGTTTTTTTTCTTTTGGCCTTATCACAATTATGATATTCCCCTTTCATTTTTGCACCATATAGTTTACTGCTCTCATTTAGCATATGATTCTTAGATCAGAATAAAATACATTTGTTTCTAGTTACTGAGGACTCTGTGCCTCCTGGTGTTGGAATAGTCAGCTATGAATGGAGGCCTCAGTTTCCTGCCCTACAGCAGAGAGAAGGAAAAGTCTGCGCAACTTCAAGACACAGGAACCTCTTATCCTTATGTCTCCCATTTTCCCACAAATCTCTGTTGAGAAAGAGAAACGCCTCTAGACCAGGATGTAACCACATGACAGAAGGACACAGGCAGACACAAAGAGCCTTGTGTGTAATGTTGTAAAGTTTATTGTGGGCACAGATGTAGCTTCAGCTGAGCAAAGCGTAAAGGGCACGGGGGGCTGGTGCCATGAGGACTGATGTTGATATCCCGGGAGGATTGGGGGATAGGACTGCAGCTATGACCATTGTGCTTGGTAGCTAAGCATGGGCCAAAGTGCTGAGCCAAAAGCTAGATGATCTTATCCAAGTGAACTGGAACCACAGGGTACCTGGGACTGTCTTGGGATGATCTGTCCTCACAGGCAATGATTTCTGTGTCGATGTCTGTTGGTAACTGCAGTTTGTGTAATTCATTGCATTTCTTGTGAGGTTGCAGTAGGTTTTAGGCACTTGGACTGAGCTATTATGACAGTTCGTCTTGCCTGGTTGAGAGCAGGTTACATTTGGGGTGTTACAAATACCAGCTACATAAGCAAATGTTTTGTGGAGAAAAGTATTTCTATCTTTACATACCATTCTGTAACGGTTAACCACTTGCATTGCGGCATTGCATTGAGGGTAGGCCATATTTATGTGCTGAATCTCAAGCCATTGAGCCCAGGTTAAAGTACCAGGTGGCGCATGGAGTGAGATCACCATTCCCAAGAGCCCCAGCAGCAAAATGAGACAAAGCCAAGAATCCTGCTGTATTGGAACCATGTTTCTTGTGAAAAGAAGGGTATATTTTGCATCCCAGCAACTAATAATATAGTCCCTCCTCGCTTACCCGGCAGACCCTGGCTGTCACTGTGTTTCTAGCTCCTTTCCCCTCTGCTCCCCAAAGTCTTTCCTGTGCCCTAGCTTCAGCTCTAGGGCTCCTTGTCTTACACAGTACTTCTGCTATGGCTCCCGTGAGAACAGATCTAGCTGGTGACCCTGGGGCTCAGGGGCAGCTGGTCTACTCCCATCCTTGGGATTGGAGATATAGAGCAGTCCCTGTGGGTGGCGCCAGCAGAAGCACAAGGGTTCTGAGTCTAGGGCATGAAGAAACCCACAGACTGGGCCCCACAGGGCCCACTTATGCAATGAGCCTCTTTGTTTCATCATTTGCCAATCCACATGTTCCCAGGGACACACCACAGCTGCTTCTCTTGTAGCAAATCTAATTCTAGGCATCCTGTGCAGGGCACAGCTCTGCCACTGGGTCTGGACTTTCACATGAAAAGTATCACTGGCAGCAGAATGGCCTTAGATTTTGTAACTCAGCTTGGGGGCAACACATTGAAAGACTAAAGTACATAAAGGCAGGCCCAGTACTCAGCAAATAAGAGTCAGGGAGGCTTGTATGCACAAGAGGAACTCAGGTCTCCGTTTAATTTTTAGTAATCGTTCCGGTTCCCTCTCACCCAAATGTTCTTTATCTCCTCAGCTCCCTGTGTTGGAAACTTGAGCTTTGAATTTCTCATTGCACAAAATCCTATAAGCAATTAGTTTGCATCTATGAGGTTTTGTTCTTATTTTCTTTTTTTTTCCTGCTTCCCATGCACTGAATTCACTTTTTCTTGTTTTAACCCTGGCCTGATTTTTGCTCTCACTTCCTATGAAGTAGCATAACCTAAAACACCCAAAAGAAAGTCTATAAGATCTACCAGAGAATGAACATTTAGTATCATAGAGGGGATTCCAAGCTAGAGCTTGAATTCCCGCATTCTTTTCAATTTGTACTATTTTCTACAAAATAGTCTACCTTAGAGCCATCATTTATCTTTCTAGTACATTTCATTTCTCAATGTTAACAGGAAAAAACTTTTTTAACTTATAAAATGAGGATTAGTTGATAAGACATTGCATTCCTGGAACTATGAAAGTCATAGCGTATAACTTGATATATGAAACATACTCTTGGTTCTCAGAGAAGCAGAGCAAAATTATGGTAGACCCATGATTTTATTACCGTGTGATAGAGGTAAAAACATCGGGTGAAGACGTTTTTTGAGGGGCACTGCGGACGAAGGGATAGGAAGGCTTCCAGAGGAAATGTCCATTTGAGCAGAGTTATAAAGGATAAGTAGAGTTTAGGGACTTCAGGGAATAAATGAGCATTCTAGACTAAGAAGATGGTGTGGGACATTATACAGATAGGAAGAGTGTATTAAGGTATGAAGAGCCTTTAGCTAAGATATGTTAAATCTCTGGTCTAACCTCCAAGTTAGGAAACTAGATTAGGTCCTTAAATGGTATTGTACAGTCTGCCACGAAAATTAATCCATGTTATTTATTTTTACTGCCTTTCTATATTTCTGTCATCTGGAAATGCAATTATTTTACCATTGATGTCTTTAAGTAAACATTGACATAATGGTGACCTAGATAGGACTCAGTGCAGTGCTAATAGGATTCTGCCGGAAATCCTGTTCTGCCTAAAATGCATTAATATCTTTTATCATGAAACAAGTTTTTTTTCCATGTTATTTTGTGAAAAGAATTTTCATGAGAGATGAGGATGCCCAAATGAATTAGATGTAGTTTAGCCCTTCTGTGATGCTGACAACCACACTGGCTAGAAGGACCTGTACTTAAGTGTCTATAATATGAACTAAATATCATACACTGTGGTCACAGGGGATGCAGCTGGCTCAGAAACCTGCTCTGGACTGGCATATAAAATTTTACATTAAATACTGGGTTTTAGATATTAACTCTTCAAATTGGGATAATTCACATAAAATCTGCATTCCTGCATTATTCTTAAGAATAGGGAGATGTTGGTGCACTGAGTCTCTTTCACCACAGGGATCAACGAGAGGGGAATAGTCCCTGACTCTGGTGAAGGTGGCAATAGTTCAGGGGTTTTCACTCACTCTCCTACCTACTGATCACATCCTGTCCGCTCAGATACTGCCCATCATGCTTGCTACAAGTGACCTGAGAGGTGACTCACACAATATCATGACTGATTTGCAACCATGCTTCCCACCTTTAAATTGTATTTGGAGTACACTTCTATAATTTTCCTGATTGGTTCGTCCACAGTTTTCCACTTGTGCACCTTTACCTTACAATAAATCTCTTCATATAAATTTTAGTTGGTTAGTCTGCATATCGTTCAGTAACTGTCACTAATCAGTCAGTCAGTTCATTCACTCAGTCATGTCCAACTCTTTGCGACCCCATGAATCGCAGCACGCCAGGCCTCCCTGTCCATCACCAACTCNTTCTTCTTCACTTTCTGCCAGAAGGGTGGTGTCATCTGCATATCTGAGGTTATTGATATTTCTCCCGGCAACCTTGATTCCAGCTTGTGCTTCTTCCAGCCCAGCATTTCTCATGACGTACTCTGCATATAAGTTAAATAAGCAGGGTGCTACTAATCACAACTTCTAATTTTAGGTAGTGTGCTTTTTTCTCTTGGTTGTTTTCAGAGAACTAGGTTAATTTCACACTACAAAGTTACCTTTTTCCTCAACAAAAAGACAAGTTTTTTTCATTGAAAATAAATTTCCAAACCTTTCTTTGTCCTGAGGCCTGCAGCATACCCTCTTCAGAAAGTTAGGGTCAGGGACTTCCCTAGTGGTCCAATGGCAAGACTCCACACTCCCAGTGGGGCCCTGGTTCGATCCCTAGTAAGGGAACTAGATCCCGGGTGCCAAAACTAAGAGCTAGCACCACCAAATAAATTAAAAGAAAAAAAGTTAAGGTCAGGTAAAGGATCTTGATTTGAATCACAGCTCTACTACTTCTGAGAAATGAGATGCTCTATGTATTGACACTGTGTATTGCTCTATGCATTGACACTTGGCCATGTGGAACACACCAGAGGGTGGGATGCTTTAAGCCATATGGCCAGTTATGCAGGGCCATGAACACATGAAACTGTGAACTCTGTAAATAATAACATACTTGTCAGAACTATTGTGTGAATTAAGCAAGAATAGCTAAGGATAGTAAAGTTAAAAAAGAGACAGTTCCTCTTTTCTTGGCTAATGATCAAGCAGAAGTTAAAGGATGTTGAAATCTAGTTATGCTATCCCAACTCAGTTTCCTGACTGCTGTCAGTTAGCTCTTGCCTTGTTCCTGAAATAGACAAAAGGCTTTTGAGGCTTATCTACCAAGGGGAACTATCAATATAAGGTCTATGAAATCTACTTACATTACAACTTGCAGGTGCCCCTCCCCCCACACTCATTATCAAGTCTGGTAGCCTAGCTGATTTTGGAGTTCTGGACGGTGTGTATACCGATTTCTTCCCTTCCCTTACTGAAATGCAGACCCAAGTCTCAGAAAGCTTCACCCACAATAAGAACATTCACAAAAATTTAAATTGTGGAGACAAAAACAATGTAATCTTTACATAAAAGTAATTGAAAATTTTTTTGTTTCGCCTAAATTCACTAGCAACTGTTTTTCAGAAAAATTAGATTTATTTGGATTAACAAGTCACAAAGGGAAACTCAATTTGCAAACAAAATATTTCTCCCTACCTGAACATGTATAAGCCAATGGTTTCTCTTCAGAGAAAACCACGCATGGACTCATACATACAAGTAATGCTTTATTAGGGCTTGAAAGACAGAAAAGACTGAACTGAAAGAGCTCTTTAGTCTATAATCTTCACTTCAGAAATGAGTAGGATGAGGTGATTGGCCCATCTCCAAAAGCAAGTTTGTGACAGACACGCACCAAACTGCAGGTTTCTTTCTTCATATTTGTAGTGATGTCATAGGTACTCTGTGTGATGCTGGTAAAGATTCTGGGTGTGAAATAGTAAACATGAAATGAGTCCTATGAGGTAATCTGTTTAAGATCATTGATAGACCTGAGAGTTTTCCATATGGCCTTCCCCTTACAGTCTGGGAAGAAAATGTCCATGATATAATTCCTATAGGATTAGAGGAAAGAGGGAAGGCAATGAGGGTCCCATATCTGCTAGAAATATCCACCACTGAGAGGGACATATTTGTCTCCTTGGATGTCATCTGCTCTGCAAAAGCCCTGCCCTGAGACTCTCAGGTATTCAAGAAAGGAATAGGCATATTAGACCCAGAAACAGGAATCTGACACCCAGTTCTTACTCCTTATACATAGAGAAGCCAGAGTCTTTATTCTGCCTCCACGAGGCAGAGGACTTTGAGAGGGAAACATGAAATTCACTCTCTTAGAACTGAGTACACCCACTTTCTTTTAAACAAAATTTAAAACAGGCATAAATAATTTAAGAAAGTAGAAATATTTTCTAAGATGCAAGGCATATGGATTGTCAATTACCCTTCAAGTTCACCGACTGTAGAGAAGGTTTGGCAGAGACACCTGCTTCATTCAGAGGCTGTGGAGTCAGGAGGCTGATATATGCAAACACTTCAGAGATATACGTCTTTAGGTTAACTACTGTAAGGAGAAAAATCACTGGAGAGTTTGGAAATACCTGTGTATGTCAGACCCATAAAGGGGTGAGTGGGTGAAAGGCACCTTCTTTCTCAGCAAGTCCTTCTCTTCTCTCCTTCACTTTCTCAGAGAAAAGTGGCAATCCACTCCAGGACTCATGCNCATGAGTTTGAGTAAACTCCGGGAGTTGGTGATGGACAGGGAGGCCTGGCGTGCTGCGATTCATGGGGTCGCAAAGAGTTGGACACGACTGAGTGACTGAACTGAACTGAACTGAGGGAAAGGGACCAGAGCCTGCTCCTTGACCCCACCCTTCCTTGACCTGCTTTCACAGGGAA